ATTCAAATGCATTCGGATAGAAGTTGCTTTCTTGTTAAAAGAACGAGAAAGAGAAAGAAATTGAATTTTCCTAAAAAAAAAAGCCTTAAATTGAAGAAAAGAAAAAAATTCTCAAAAAAAAAAATCTTTAATAAGCTATATCGAATGAATTGATTTTTTAATGAATTTCATCGTTTCATTAACCTTTTCTTTAATCTTTCGCGCTACTAATTAATGATTATTTAAAACTTTTCGTATTTACATTAAATTTAAATTCAAACATATACTCCTCACCCTTTTATTTTCTGTTCATTCCCTACAATTCATTTTTCTCCAATACAATTAAAGCATATATTCATAGGTATTCATAATGTGCTGCATAATATTTTCATAAATCAAAAATTAAAAAAATGATTCATCCAAATTATTTAGTTATGATATAACAAAATATAAAACTATATATTTGATTACAAGATTTACAATTAAATTAAATTAATAATATACCTAATCTTAGAGGTGATTATTTTGAATTGAATCAACAGTGTGATAATTTAACAGCTTTTAATCAAAAAGGTTGACAAAAAAAAATCACAACAAGTTTTCGCTAATTAGGGAATTGATATCATTTCCTTGGTTTTTTTTTTTTTTTTTTTAGTTCCATTCATTTTCCTTCGTCACTTTTTTTTCTGTTTTGATAAAGTTAAGTCCGTAATTTAGCCGTACATTAACTGTTAGCATATTTATATGAAATGTTATGGGATGTGAATGAATCGGATTTCCTGATCATCTCTGATATTCCGAGTATGCAAAATTGTCATTGTTTCATTTTTCAAAATCTCACATATATCAGTTAAATTGTCCTAATAAACTTAACCTGATAAAGCTAAGTATTAACAATGTGATAATTTAACAGCTTGTAATCAAAAAGGTTGACGAAAAAAAATCATATTAAAAGATGAGATTGTAATTAGTTAAATGTATGGCTGGCCTAGAAAGGTGACACAAACTTTGAGCAATCTATAATAGCATTTATAAATTGGTTTTTTTTTTTCTTCTAAATTTATCGAATTGAAAATTGTATTCATGCGAAATCATTGAATGATTGATGAACTGATGGTGACAAACAAATAAAAAAAAGAATCGTATGATGACAAGTATGAAATGGAAAAAAAAAAAATGAAAACAACAAAAATATGATTTGGTTGATAATGTTTATACAGATGGTTTTTAATCGTTTTACGTTTTTCATTTTTGCATGCTTCATATCTTCGATATGCGTATGCATGTGTTTGTATGCATGCATGTGCATGCATGTGCATGTAAGTCTTGTTTAAATCTTTCGAACACAAATGTAATTTAATGGGATGCATAAGTGAATTAAAAATAATGTCCCTTCTTTATAGTAAAATGAGAGGTAATTAACGAATTATTGTTGAAAATTGAAAATGAACGAAATATGAGTAAACAATAATTTATTTTATGATCGAATCTTTTGGAGTTACTAAGAGGGTATGTTCAAATTTTTTTTTTCTCTCTCATTTTTTTTCCCCTATCTTCTTCAATTTTTATTTTTTTGAATTCTTTGGAGCAATTTAATACATTAACTGAACAGGAAATTTAAAGGCAGGTATCTGAGTAATTATAACAAAGATAAAAGCTCTAAAACCGGATATGAAGCTTAATTTTAGCAACAAAGAATTTCTAAACTTTAGAATATCCATATATTTGAATAAATTGATTTTAATTCCTGATTACAGTACCTTCAAAACCTTATAGCAAACAAAATTTCAACTGCATTAAAATCAAAGAAATTATTTTAATCGTTCATCACATGAATTGATGTTATTTTTCAGTTCTTATTGTTTCAATTATTTTTTACTAATTTGATCAATGAAGAATTTCAACCCAATTATTTAATAAAACACAAATTTAAGCCTCAAAAAATCTGGTATTATTCCCGGGAAAAACGAATTTTTGAAGAAAAATCAAAAATTCTCACTTAAATTGAAACAATACTTAATCTGACTATTGTTATATCAGGAAACACCAGATACAGATGTAGATATCAATCCTTTAAATTACCACAATCCCGAAATTACAACAACGATAGTTATCTTAGTACTGTACCAAATTTCAGAGAAAATAAATTCCAGTTCTTTGAACTAAGTAAAACGTCTGAAATTTGTCCACTGCGAAAAGATTGAAAGAGTATTTGACAATTTGTTACAAAGAAACAGTATCGGTAGAATCGGCTAGCATCGGTAAAAATTGTTTACTTTTACTTATTGAACAAATGCTGGTAAAAGAAAGGTCATATGTTGTAGTTCTCTGATACATGAAGGAATAGAGGTATATAGCTAAATTAGAAATTTTCTGTCAACATTATTAAAATAACCAAATACTTGATTTACTTTAATTTCAATTAATATTTAAAGTTGAAAAAATTTCAAAAAAGACTTCATAAAGACTTGTATTAGAAATCAATCAATCAATAATAAGAATTATTGTACATTTCAAATCATCAATATTACTTTTTTTTTTTTGACAATGAAATAATTCCTTTTTAGATTATTATCAACAATGAGAAAATGACTTTCATTACAAAAAGTGCAAAGATAATTGCATAAATTTACAAAGAAAAAAAATACGAAAAATGGCAATTTCGAAGTAAAAAACAAAAAAAGGAAAAATCCCTAATTAAGGATAGAAATAAATTATTACAAAGTTTTTTTTTTCGAGTGACAACTAAAGATTATTTCGTGTTAAAATCTAATTCAATATCGTTGATAATTTCATAGTTTGATCTTTTTCATTAATCTCAATTATTCATAAAATTTATCTATCTTTTACCATAATTTTAATTCACTAGAAAGAGTCAAATAATCAATTTCATCTATTATTCGATTTATGATGAAAGAATTAGATTAGAATTGTCGTCTTTCATCATAATATAATTGCATGTATTTTAACAACGAATGAATTTTTACCTCAAATCGACTCATCGCACTGCTCTTCCGTTTCGGATCGATCATTGCGAAATGTGAAAATGGTGGTTCACTACCTGATTTCTTCAATGTCCCCTTATCAGGTTGTCCGCTTAATGTTTCTGCTGCTCCTGGTACTGCTACTGCTGAGGATAATGATGCTGATGATGATGATGACGATGATGATGATGATGATGCCGGCAGTTCACTTGAATCTAATTTAAGCTTTGATACCTGAAAGAAATATTATGATCAACTTTAGAAGTATTCTTTTAATGAAAATTAAAATGATTTCTGAATGGTAATAAATGATGAAAAATCATTGAATGAGGTGTGAAATTTTTTTGAAATGATTTTGCTTTTTTTTTTCGTGAAAAAAGAGATTTAAAATGAAATTTAAATTTATAGCGGTTCACTGATTGATCAAAATATCACAAACGACCATAACAAATGGATATGTAAACGAGCAAAAATAGAGAATTAAAATAAAAACAAAATAAAAAGACTTAAACAATTTGTAACATCAACCAATTTTATTTAAATCTGATTTTTTCAAACTTTTACTTTCCTAAAATTAAACTTAAATCTAATTCTTTGTCCCTATCACTCTCTCTCTTTCTCTCTTCCTCTCTCGCCAATATAAAGTCATTAAAATGCCTAAATTCATACCCTAAAGATTATTAGAAATTTGGTGAAATATAAGCAAGTTTACAGATATGTGGAAAAAACTTGATAGAAAGAAGAATTTTAGTTTCCACAGTTACCTGAAATCGATTCACTGATACATTCCGATGTACACCGGATTCTTGTTCACCACTTGAATTTGCTACGGCTAAACTGTCAGCGTCACTTATTGACATCTGTAAGAAAAAAAAGAATTTTAAAATACAATCTTTTGTTAAGAATTGATGCATTTTAACAGAGAGAGCAGTTGGCGAATTAAAATGAATGTAATGCGTATTAGACTGCAATAGTATTAATAAAAAAACAGCACATGAAGAAAAACATACCACAAATAAATAAATAAATATTGAATAATAAATGTGGATGCAATCCGTTGATCCTCATATGGATCAACTGGATTCTATGCCACCAATAAATCGAACATAACAAAGCAGAACAGGATATATGCTACAAGAGTTCCGGATAGATCAGGAATAAACCACATAATGCACTATTAACAGATAATACAACTCACCAAGAAGATAGGATTTGAGAGTTAGGCAAGATTATTTGACTTATACATCATTTGGTAAATTTAAGATAAGACTTAGGGTGTCATGATCAACAGTTGAACGTTGAACGACTTGCCGATTTCTCACATCGTATTTCACGATCGTATCGTTAACGACAGATTTTGAAATGATAAAAAAAAAATTTCGGCTATGATCTGAGCAATATTCCCGCCATAATCAATAAAGAAAGGATGGGAAGCTATAATTTCGTCATAGTCCTTTCAAGGTCAATTAATAGGTGTCCAGAATATTCCAATATTCTTTCATGTGTTAAATTTAAAATTAAATACATTGAAAAGCTTAAGGATCATATAATTCTATCCTAAAATTATCCGATGATCGTAGCATAAAATGATTGAAGGAAAAAAAAAAACCTAAATGTTAAATGCGATTTTATTCCCTTTTTAGGAAAAATTTCAATATGTTCGAACTTAGAAGATTTAATCCAAAATTCAATGGAAACATTTGAAAAGGAATAGATGAAATTTTATTGTCAACAACAATTTAAAGAATAAAAAAAAAGGCTAATAGAGGAAAATTTAGTTGAATGACACTCATTTTCTTTCTTTTTTTTTTTTTTTTTTTTAAATATGTCGCTTAAAACTTTTGATAGCATAAATTTTAGTAATAAAGATAAATCGGGGAAAAAAAAAAGGATAAGGTGAGAATTGGAAAAGATAAACGTGATAGCAAGAAAAAAAAAAGAGAAAAAATCATTCAAAAGAAATTTGTCGTGTATTTGAATATTAGACTAAATTGATTAACAATAATTCTTGCAAATACTTTTCCCAATATACATTTATATGAAAGCAATGATTTATTTGATTTATTTAAATTTCAAAATGACAATTTCAACTTCTAACAAATATTTACCTTCTTCATTCTACAAAAAAAAGAAAGAACTTAGTATATATGTTTTTTTTTTTTCTAGCAAATTACAAAATTCTATTCAGAAAATTGCAAAAATTCGAAAAATTTTTTTTATTTCGACTAAAAAAGAAACAAAAAAAAAACTTATCCATTTAGAAAGAAATAAGGAAAAAAATTATTATTGACAAATGACAAAACAAAAATATTTCTAATTAATCATTTTTCATATTTCTTATTTCAAATATTCGAAAAATCTATATTCCACAAAAAAAAAAAATAATTACTTCAATTATTTTTTAGTCATTATAAGATAATTTGAAAAATTAAAAGTGATAATTATAAAAGAATGAAAATGCATGAATTACTATGTTGCTATAGTAACATTTCGATGCAAATATTAATTCTGATTTGAAGGTAAAATGAATTTTTTTTTTTAATTTAATAGGTAAAATTTTTTTTTTCCGCAATAGCCATTAATTATGCCTTATTCTGATAAATGTGATGATGATGGCTGAGAGGATAACTTATTCAATAATGATAATGAAATGCATGGGATGACTATCTGACTGATTAATTGATTAATTGATTAATCGATTAATTGACTGGTTGATTGACGTGTCTAATTAATTCTGATTAACTGATCAAATAATTATACTTTCAAATTCATCCAACAGCAGAAATAAATAGAGGATATGAATAAACTCACTTTTTTCATACATTCATTAACATATAGTAAATTCTGTAACAAATTTAATATGCAACGGATACTTTTTCGAGATAAAAAGGTTAAACATTAAATTATATAACATCAATTGATAAAACATATAAATATTAATTTATTTGAATTGAAACTACTAAAAGTATAGCTTTTGCAAAACTTTGAAATTTCCATTTCATAATATATTTTAAAGTTTGGTTTTAATTTACATTTGAAATTTCAGTTTCGTATGTTTTTTTTTTTTGGATTTGATAATTGTTGAAAAATGATAAATTTTGAGGAATTCAGATAAATTAAAATATTAACTTGAAGAAATATGACTAGCAGATTATTTAATGGAACTAATTGAAAGAATGCTTCAAAGGATGTGTCTTCATCAATGTGTAAATTTTGAAGAGAACTGTCAAGAAAAGGTGACAGATGTTGTTTAGTATTTGATATGTCCCATTTCTCGTTAAGAATGAAAGAATGGAAAATAATTTTAAATTGATGAAAGTTGATAAATTTATCGTTTTTGCTTCCGAAATGCTTTTCGTTAAGATATCACGGGAAGAAAAGGAATTATACAATTTGTTTGCTTGACCTGATATTACAAAATTTCTTTAAAGAAGCCAACCTAGAAGAAAGTGAAAGAGTTTAATATAAGGCTGAAGAAAATTTAATTTCTGAGGCTATTTTTAAAAGAATAAATTAAAATGAGATAAAAATAATAATGGCTTCTATTATAGTAGTTCCCAAAAAATAACTTCATGTCTTGAATACCTTTGTTAGTCATCAATAGGTAATTGATGAATGAATCATCATTCATCATACGACAATAGTAATTGATAAAATGATAAGGGTTAATCATTCATAAATTAATACACTCTAACATTAATATGAATTACAATCGTATACAATGTCTTATCAAATTTTTGCGAAAGCAAAGATCAAAGATTGCAATTCCTCCATTTCATAAATGGTTTTCTTTGGTCAATATTTAAACTCTTTGAAGAGTTAAATGTTAAAGAAGCAGGAAGAAAAATGAAATGTTAAGAATGAGGAATGAAACTTATAGATTAAATGGGAAGAGATGAAAAAAGGGAAAGAAGGAGGTGAAATTTGAAGTAATGGTTAAATTGAAATACACTTAGTATATCATATTGAAATGATTTAGTTCTTTGATATTAAAATAAGTGAAAATGTAAAAGAGTATGAATCATCGTGAAATTTTCAAGCAACCTTTAAACTAACTTCAACTTAAAACCGGATAATAACTGCTATTAATACATTGCTAACATTATGGAATTTTTCGCTCCTTTTTTTTTAAACCGGAAATTAGCTATGTTCAGGTTTTGTTTGTTAAACATTCATCCTGCTGTTATTATTTAATTTAGGATAGGGAAAAAAAAAGGAATTATAAAATTGAAAGAATTAGTTGAGATAAAGAAAAGAAAGAAGAAATCGTTAGAAATAGTACAAGTATATTTAATATTATCTGAAAATAGACAATAATACTTCAACCGAAAAATCACTCACTATGAGTTTTTAAATATGATTCATGGTTGTAGAAATTTTTTTTTTTTGCTGTCACAAATTTTGAATTGATGAAAATATCGTAACAAAGAGTAGAAAAGGAAAATACAATGAGTATTGATGATGTATATTATTATCAATATATTTACTAGTAGTGTAACTTGTGACAATGAATGAAGTCTAAAAAATTAGTGATGGTAATACACATCAATCAAATATGTCAACAAATCTATCATTATAGCTCTTAAATACATCACTTTCATAATCAGATGGGATAGTTTGCTAAAGGAAACTTAACCTTAAACCTTAAAAACCACAATTAATCAATCATAATTGATGTATTTCTTTAATAATAGATTTAAAATTATGTCATCATCATCATCATCATCATTAAATAATGATGATGATGATGACATAATTTTGACCAATTATTTTAAGCAGTATATTATAGTGACAATTTTTTCCTATTTTAGATTAGATTTTGAACAGAAAAATAATTTATTAAAGATTCATACAGAGCAAAAAGTATGACAGAAGACACAAATAAATCTGGGAGAAGTTATTAAGTGTCATAATGAGTAAGCTAGTTTTATGAATAATAATTCGGGATGTTTGCTGAAAATGCTACAAATGCGGGATATCTTTCCAGCTTCCGCTATGAATTTTTTTTAGGTGAGCATAGTATGGGTGGAATTATTCCTGTCCTTTATTCCTAAGGTTCATCTGTTAGAGTCTAGCAAGGCCTAGATAGAATAATAATAGCGGACTCTTCAGAACGTAGGTTTTATTTGAGTATAATTTTCATGGATGGATAACCTTACATGGTCAAATGAACTTCATCTGTCCAACCTTTGGGTTAGAGTTTTCCTTCTCCTAGGATTGTTAACGAAAGGCTAGGGCCCAATCCTACCCTTAGACACATTTTATCTTACCCTTCAGTCGATACCTGTCTGGCATGAGAGACCCAACCAGAGGTATTTATCACCGACAGCATAGCTCGAAACTTACAAGGACACGAAAACTTTTTCTCCGTGATAAGGGTATATGAAGAGTGAAGGAAATTATTAAATAATAACAGCAAACAGGAAGAGAATATAGTTGCATTGTATTGGCTTTAAGATAATTCTAAGTTTCTAGTTCTATGTGAAAAAAAAAACGCTGTAAGAACTTTAAAGATTGAGAAGGTAATAGTAGACTTCATCAGTCAATTTTATCTTAATTGATAATAATCCGATAGGAATGAAAGATCGAAAGAATGGAAAATGCTAGAAATGAAAATAAATACTAATCCATCTGAATTCACGATGATTATTTCAATAACAGTTGGTCTACTGAAGGAACAACAATTTAGCTGATTAATGAAATTTAACTGATCAATGAAATCAAAGGATGGTAAACGGATTAACTTGATAGATTACTTGTTTATTCGTAAGAAATTAAGCGTAAACTTGATGAGTATCACTAAGAAATAGCATTAATAATATTGGCTTTCAGATAATTATAGGCAGAAAAGAAAAAAAATGAATGA